ACATCCACTACCTACCCTCAATCGTCTTCATCACTTCCTGAAAAAACTCTATCAAGTTTTGCAAGATAAGACCACTCCCACATAAAGCCATGCTGAATATCTCTAATAAGTCCATCTTCTCCAAATGTGAGTAAATCCTGTCTCTAAAAATCTTATCCTATAATTTCCTAGATTAACCCTGTTGCCTTTCTTAAACAAAGAAACAACATTAGCTATTCTCCAATCTTCTGGGACCTTACCTGTGGCTAGAGAGGATACAAAGGTCTCTGTCAAGGCCCCAGCAATCTCCTCCCTTGTCTCCTTCAGTATCCTGGGATAAATCCAATCAGGCCCTGAGGACTTATCCACCTTAATGTTTATCAAGAAACCCGTCCTCCTTAATATTGATGTGCCCCAGAATGTCAACATACCCCTCCCTAATTTTACCATCATTATGTCCTTCTCCTTGGTGAATACTAATGCAAAGTACTCATTAAGGACCTCATCCAATTCCTCTGGCTCCACACATAATTTCCCTCCTTTGTCCTTGAGTGGATTTCAAGACATCTTGAGGGGGTGGAGGGGGGGGGGGGGCGGGGGGGGGAGCAGGGAGGTGCTCATCCAGCAAGGCCATATGGGTAGAACTGAGGAATAAGAAAGGTGCAATCACTATGATGGGGTTACACCTCTGAGGAAAGGTCACTGGACCTGAAACGATAACTCCGTTTTTTCCTTCACAGATGTTGCCAGACTTGCTGAGCTTTTCCAGCAACTTTGTTTTTGTCATATCTTGCATACATGGTTGCCATGCAGACTGGACGTGTCCCTGATTTCCCACATATTGCAGCGGGAGCGTTCCAGAGCTGTCATGCCACTTTGGGTGTGAACTTTATCAATTGCAGACAAGGAACCAATTAAACAAACTTTCCCACTGCTCGCCAAATCAGATTTCTCACTCTTACTCTCTACTCCTAACAAACTACAAACCACAGAAGTAAACACTTTACATTCTGTCTCCCTACTGACGCTACTTATTCAGTCTCTAGGCCTGGGCCCCTGAATGGCCGAGCTGATTATCACAAAGTCATGATGTCACCTTTGCCTCCGGATTCAGTTCTGCTCCTAGCATCACTGCTGCGATGTAGCTCAATCCAGGCACCTGTTCCTCAAGGTTTAATCTGGAAGTTTCTGCTGCTGTTCACCATCAGGTCGGCTTTGTCATGCTCCCGCCACCGCTCTGACTGAACTCTTAAGGAGTTTTTGGAGTTGAAGGAATTTAAATGTAGTCAATGAATGAGACTGTTGCTCAATACAGTGCAATAGAGACTATTTAACAGAATCGTATTCTTTCACATCTCTACATGGCTGCTGAGGCTAGCTAGTGGTGGATGCTAGATGAGTTAATACAGTCAATGAAAGAAAAAAAAACATGGTGTATCAGGGCATGGTTTGGCCTCAGTTGGTACTGAGTTAAAATAGGGGCTATTAAGAACCATGAAGGATGTATGGAGAGGCAGAGGTTGACAGTGAGGATGTAAAAGTTTATGGGAGGTTGGTAGAGGAACACAGTCTGGTATGGGGTGGGGTTATGGTGGATGAGTAGAGAGTATGAAATGGCATGGACGGGGCATGGGGATTATGTGTAGGACAGTGATGTGGTCTGGAGAGTCACTTTTGGTTTGATTCTTTTCTATTAATCTTTGTAAATGCTGATGCATAGACACATGCCACATCCAAAAGCCTACGCACTTGCTCTGGCCTTGATTTCCTGGGTTTGGTTTTCTGGGAATTGTCCTGTCTCTGCATTTTCAACCCATGACTGAAACTCCAGGCCAATGTATTTGTTCCTTATTGTTCATCTGTTTACAATCAATATATATCAAAATCTAACAGATATATCTCAATAAAATTTGGTGTACTGTTAGAAAATGACTCAAGGAAGTACTGTTTTTTTTTGCAAAGATGCAGACCTGGATCCTGAAATTTCTTAAAGGATCTGTTACCATTGGGAGGTACAATAAATTGATTTTTTTGTTTACGAACATTGTCTGTTGTTTCATTTAGTATGTTGGTGGTTGTTTTAGAATATTGCGAATTGACTATGACAGAATTTGCCACAGTGGTTAAATAGTGAGCAGAGTTTACTGAGCAGATTTGTCTGAAGCTTCATCAGTGAAATGAAATCTCTTAATGTTTCTTGCATTGTGATTGTAAAACATGAACCAGGCAGGGAAAGGTCAGAAGAAACGGTAGCTTGTTATATGTATTTACTCTATTAAGCTCTTTCTTCACTTGTATTTGTCAATATTTCCACAAATGTCCACATGATTCAAGTTACACAAAACACAGGTTTATCTGCCCACTGCATCCCTACTAATGATCTAGCACCAAATAGTTTTTTGGGAAGCAGTTCTGGATTTCCACCACTCTTTATGTGAGGAAATACATTTTGGCAACGCCTTTGAAAGGTCTCACTTTAATTATAAATTTATGTCCCCTTGTTTTCGATTTTACCACTAGAAAAAAAATCTATCTGAAAACCCCTCCATTCGAGGATCCCCTAACTTTCTATACTCAGGAGAATAGAAACTAATTGATAACAATCTATCTTGATCATTAATTCTTTCAGCTCCAGTGTGATCTGATGAATGTGCACCACACCCTCTCTTAGGCCATTATATCCTTCTAGACTGATGCTTTTTAAAATGTAGATTTCCAGAAGCCATTGCACAAGGCTTTAGACAAATCAGCATTAGGAAAAATGAAAGCTCATCAAATTCAAACAACCTTTGTTTGTTTTGATGAGGAACTTGTGAGACAGAATACTAATTACGAGTTGTTCTGACTGAGATGGGTGTAATACCATGGGACATGACAACCAGCAATGTACTAAACACCAGCTGCACTTTTAGTCAAGTTGTTCCAGTACAAACAGAACATTGGCAACTGTCTAACAATGAGGGAAATTGTCCAGGTATGACCTGTCAACAAAAACAGGACAAATCCAACCTGACTGATTATCTTCCCATCCATGAGTGTACACTCAACTTCAGTAAACTTTTTATTATCTGGCACCTATGGGACTGGAAGTGTACCAGTTGATCAAATATTCTGATATTCCGCAGGTATTCAATATTCAAGGTAAAAGCACACACTAAGTAATAGAAATGTACACATCACTGTTATACTTTATTTACAGCATGAATCACTCAAATAATAATGCAACTTTTCCTTAAATAAAACTTAACAGCAGAGACCCTTCTCACTCGCACCATCAACTGACTACTCGGACACTGCAGTAGATCATGGTATTTGAGAAGAAATTGACTTGAAATTGAATCAACTGTTAATATTTCACATGGCCATTCAATTGAACAACAAGTATATTTACATTGAGGTCAATGAAATAACTGCAGTTTTTGAGGTATTTTTGCGTTTCTTATCAAAAATACTGGTTCATGAGATGTTGGTTAAAACAAAGTTAACAAAGTTTGCTGCATTAAATATGGTTAGAACTGCAGATGCTGGAGTCAGAGATAACACAGTGTGGAGCTGGAGGAACACAGCAGGCCAGGCAGCATCAGAGGAGCAGGAAAGTCCAGTCCACTCGGGTCCATTCTAGGCCTGAAACGTCAGCCTTCCTGCTCCTCTGATGCTGCTTGGCCTGCTGTGTTCATCCAGCTCTACACCTTGTTATCTCAGATTCTCCAGCATCTGCAGTTCCTACTATCTCAGATATACTTGGCTGTCTAGTTAGCCCTACTGTGAGAGACACTTGCACTGATATCCCGTGTCTGAGATGATCGACCTCCAATAACCACAGCCATCTTTTTTTGTGCCAAGTATGACCGCAACCAGCTTCCCCTGATTTCTTTGAATCTTGTTTTGCCAGGACCTCTTGATGCCACACTCAAAGAAATGCTGCTTTGATGACAAGGGCAGCTCTCCTCACTTCCTTTCTTGAGTTCTTTTCTCCATGATTAAAACCAAGGTTGTATTAAGGTCAGGACCCGAGTGGACCCAAACTGGGTGTCAGTGAGCAGGTGATTAATGGGTAAGTGCAGCTTGATAACACTAACAAAAACACCACTGATGCAACAAATATAACACAGTGTGGAGCTGGAGGAGCTGAAGAAGGTTCCCCACCCAAAACATCAACTTTCCTGCTCCTCTGATGCTGCCTGGCCTGCTGTGTTCCTCCAGCTCCACACTGTGTTATCTCTGACTCCAGCATCCGCAGTTCTTACTATCTGTGATGCAGCAAACTTTGTTAACTTTGTTTTAACCAACATCTCATGAACCAGTATTTTTGATAAGAAATGCAAAAATACCTCAAAAACTGCAAAGTTATTTTATTGACCTCAATGTAAATATACTTGTTGTTCAATCGAACGGCCACGTGAAATATTAACAGTTGATTCAATTTCAAGTCAATTTCTTCTCAACTTCCATGATCTTCTGAATAAGGGTCTAGGCCCGAAACGTCAGCTTTCCTGCTCCTCTGATGCTGCTTGGCTTACTGAGTTCATCCAGCTCTACACCTTGTTATCTTAGCCAAGTGTATCTGACTTGTGTCAACAGTATGGGGTTTGATCCTCAAGCCGGCTGAGATGGATTTGGAACCTCTGGTGGAGGTCATGAGTCAGACCTCCTTTCAGGCAGGGAACTGAAGAAGTAGCAACTTTGCCAGAATTACAGGCCTTATAGATATTTTTAAACAACCTGTACAAGTGTGTTATGACACACCTCTGAAACAGGAGGGATTTGGATTTCTGGCTCAGAGGCAGGGACACTACAAGCATAACTAGGGCCCTCTAATGAGTTTGACATGCTCAATCATCATTGGTCTGTTGCACCTTGGTTATTATCTATTAGTAAAAGCTGCTGAAATCCACCAAAACATCCGTCAGTTTTGCAGATATGTACCTGTCTAGCCTTGCAGATCCCAGTCTTTACGAAGTGTTTCTCACTTCTCGCATTCCTTGAGTGATCTTCATTTCACATTATTGTCCAATTCTGAATCAATTTTCAGATAATTATTTTATTACATTCCATTTTACATACATGTCATTTAATAAAATGATTTACATTGATGTAATAATTTCAGAGATCTAAGACAACAGAAGCAGTGAGATATCCCACAGTGAGTGCCAACATGCATCGGACTCATACTCAGTGTGTTCAAGACTATCCAGCGTAAAATGCAAATGAACAAGCTAACCTGTAACTGGTGTCTACTCAGAAAATTTTGCACACTTTTAACACCTTACAGTCTTCTATATTTTCGGGTATGCTAGTTACTAAAGTGCAGCAAATTCATTTTTATACTCCGTGTACTTTTCACGCAAAGTTTGATACATTAAGTGCACATAATAGAAATCCAAGTTACAAAAATGTTTGAAAAAATCTGTCCGTGCTAACTTATTAGGAAAAGTTTGCATTACGAGAATGCTATCATCTGACTGACCCATCCAGATGGGAGTGGGATAGCCAGGCCACCCATTTGAGAGAGGGTGGGATTTTCAGCCTGACCTATTATGTGGAGAGAGGGCTGACCCATTCTGATAATGGGGAGATTGTCAGACCCACTCATTCTGAGGAGGGTGGAACTGTCAGACGAGCACATTCTGGTGAATGTGGGATTTTATTTTTTTTCTAAAAGTATACTTTATTCATAAAGAATGGAAAAAAATAACAAAACATTTTTACTTGAACATTATAGAATTTGCAACGAAATCCAACTTGTCCTCGTTCTGCATATTCCAATCAGTACAATGTAATAGTCTCAATATTTACAAAATACATTACATGTCAATTACACAGCCCGAGGGCAATTGCAAATTACAGAAAGTTCACAGACATTTTTTTCTCTATACATGTTCCACCCTGAGGAGACTCAATACATTTTCAATACTTTTGATTCACAATGTACATTCTTTGTAAGGTACAGCACCCAAGGTATTCTACAGTTTCAACTCCTAAGTGTGCTCTGTCTGAAAGGCCATAGACAGCAATCTTTCCCTATTGGACTGCTTCAGTATCTGAGGAGTCACAAAAATGATGCCGAACAATCATTGGCACACTGACTTTTTGATGGAGGGAAGTCATTGATGAAGTATTAACCTCTCCATGAAGGACCAGTGGCTCAGCACAGAGCAATGAACTGGAGCTATCTGCAAAAATGTGGCTAGATTCATTCATCACAACATCAGGGATAGTTTGAATCACGATTTGGAGTATTTTGCTGCTGATCCAGCAAGGGAGCATTTTTCCTGCCTGGCCAGCCTTTGTTTGACCGCAGCTATTCATTCATCTAATTTTTGGCTCACAACCCTGTCCCTCGGTACCAATTTCCCAGCACCTGCAGGTAATCTGACCTGACAGTGAAGGGAACAGAAGATCAGTCAGCCCAAAGAGCCTTGGTTTGGTCTGAATTTGTGCAATTGGCAGGCTGACCCATTCTGGAGAGGGTGGCGTTGTCAGACTGACCCATTGTGGAGTTTGGGCCGGGGTGGAGGGTTGTCAGACTGACTCATTCAGGGAAGGGTGGGATTGTTGGACTAATCCATTCTGGGGAGGATGGGGTTATCAGACTGACCCACTCTGGGGATGGGATTGTCAACACATTTCAGGGAAGGCCCAGGGGCATTCTGTCATGCAGAGACTCTGACTTTGTCCCTTCCTGAAGCAGATGGCCAAGGGTGGGGCGGGCAGAGTCTCTGAACAGCCCACCCTTTCCCTCAGTGGATCATTAGACTTTGGTTCCAGATTTTTGGGCCTACATTTCAAGACCCGATTGAAGCCAGGGGCAGGTCAATGTCTGAGTAGTTCCGGGAGTTGACTTGTTTGGTGCTGGTGCCAGTGGTGGTACTGAGTTCTCTGCAAATTTTCAGATGGGGGAAACATTTATTCAACAGCCTGATTAAATGGTTCCTGAATTTTGTCCCCACGAAAGCATAAAAGAAGGGGTTGAGACAGCAGTGGCAATAAGCCAGGTCCCGGGAAATGTAAAACGCATACGTCAGGCGGTTTTTTATCTCACAGATTTTGAACACTGGGACTTCCAATTCTACCAAAGAGAACAGGAAGATGACCACATTGTAAGGTGTCCAGCACACAAAGAACACCACCACAATACAGAAGATAACTTTCACTGTTTTGTGCTTCTTCCTGGCTTTACACCTAATGACAGTGTTGAGAATTCTCCAGTAACAGAACACAATAACAACAAAGGGAA